GTAGTACTGCAATTTCAATAGCTATTGTCTAGAATCAGTAATGTGTTCTTTTGTTCCTACATTAACCTGCTCAAGATTATTTTGTTTACAACAACTTGATTCTTCTCAGGTTAAGAATTTGATAACTTGCCGCCCTGAAGATGAAGTTCCTATTAGAAATGTTACTATAAGAAAAATTCCTAGGTATGCCTTGATCTATGTTTCAAAGATGTATATCATGGAGATATTAGTGTATCTAGATGTGGCATGTGGCTCAAGTTTTCTGAACTTTACAAAATGATGAAGCTTGGACACATTAATTGGCTTCATTCCATCTGCTCATGTTTTACATCTATACAAGTCAAACAACAATCATAGTCATTGATAACATGTAAAAGGTAATTATAAAAATAAGCATGCAAGCACGGTAAGTGTTTCTTCACTTAAGCATGTGTAGATAAAATAGAAAAGGTATTTATGAACCATGGCATCTGGAGAATCATAGCCAAGCAACCATAAGTTAAGAAAATGGCAAATATTTATCTTGAGAAATTTACATGTTAGCCATGGTTAACATGTAAAAAGTAAATATAAAAATAAGCATACAAGCATGTTAGATGTTTCTTCACTTAAGCATGTGTAGATAAAATAGAAAAAGTGTTTATGAACTGTGTCATCTAGAGAATCATAGCCAAGTAACAGTAAGTTAAGAAAATGGCAAATATTTATCATGAGAAATTACATCGTTCCTTTCTTTTTAGGAGGTGCTGCAATAAGCCATTTTTTATGGGTAGAAAAAGCAGGGAATAACATCCTTCCTTTGTTTCTGTAAAATACTCAGGGTTTTTTTTGTGCACGTTAACAACATTTATGTGTATTTTGCTCATACAATGCACTAAACAAAAAAAAAAAACATTTGTCATGATTATATACATCATTTTTATTTTTTTGAGGATTTGCTATCGAAGTTGTACAATCAAGATGTCAAGTGATTACATATGACAACCGAAAGTAATTGTTGGTTGCATATTGCAGGGTGGTAAGATCTGGACCACTTCTACAAACTCATTGTGCGAAATGGTCCATGATGTAGTTTATTTTGGAATTAACAGATTTCAGTCGAGGGTCTACCTAAGTAGTTTGTGATGTCCTGTGGCACAAGTTATCTTGATGTCCTCTGGCACTGCTATAATGTATTGGATCAAAAATCTCCTCTCTGTAAATGAGGAAACTGACTTAATTATGGAACAGTTAGGAGGTAATTACAGAACACTATGTATTAAATGAGGAAACTGAGGGCTTAATTATGGAACAGTTATAACTTAATTACAGAACACTATTTATTACTGAGCATTTAGTCTTCATATTAAGTTAATGGAGTTAGATCTAGAGGTGCTATTTTTACATTTTCTACCATTTTGGTGCTCTACATTTTACAGATAATATCTACATTCACATCCTACCTCCAGACTAAAAATTTCAAACCAGTTAGACTGGTATGGTACAATTCTTGCATTCCGTAATACTGCAAAATTGCAAACCATTTTGAAGTTACGGTGATATAAATGGAGACAATCACATGGGATAGAAGATGCAAAGTAGATTTTATTAATACGAATATGAATATAAGGATACATCAACAGATTGTTTTTACATGGTTCACACTAGTACCTAGATGTTTTGATGAAATATGATACCATTCTTATTGTATATCGTTTATTTTTTAAATGCATTACAAAATAATTTTCTTTCCTGATACAGTCACATTTGGTATATAATTTTCGTATGGAAATAAATCTATTTTTGTGTGTATTGCTGCACTTAGTTCTTTTTCTGTTTTTGAATTCTAAGTCATACTTCTATATATTTGTGATGCTACTTTGGTTTTACCAGGGTCTATGATGACCTTCCTCTCTATGACATGCTAAATGAATTCCAGAAAGGCCACAGTCACATGTCTGTGGTTGTTAAACGCATAAAAGACAATGACACACTAATTGAAAAGAGCAAGACCAGCATGTCAGAGAACAGAATGAACCAGAGTAGGAACCACAATGAAGTCCATGGTATTCCTCGTATACACTATGGCATCATCTTATTCTGATCTTTTGTTTGATGATTAATCTTTTTCTGAAGCATTAAACATTAGATCAATACGTTAAAGAACTTGCATATATTGAAAAAAGTGCAATTTGTATAATCCAAGGTAGTGATTCATGATTTTCCAGGAGATGGATCTCAGTCTTTTATGGCTGAGCATTTGAATAGCATTGCAAATGGATCCCCTGTGAGTAGTAGTATTCAGGGATTTCACAGTCCTGTGAAGAGAAGCAACATGGAGAAACACGGAGACTCACGCTCACAGATCAAGAAGTCAGAACGAGTGCGGCACGATAATATCCTTGATGTCAATTCAGATACGCTCCCGAGCTATTCGTTAGATGAAGAAGTAGTTGGAATTATAACAATGGAAGATGTTATGGAGGAACTGCTACAGGTGGACAATCTTTTAGTGGATATATTTTCTAACAGTTAACTATCCCTCATTAGTATGTTCTTTACTTGATTGGACATATATTAATGTGCGTAGGCCTCGGATGCAATCTTTCTTCTTGACTACCTGAATAGCTGAGTGCATAAATTGCTATTCTGTTCATAATCAAATTATGCTTTGTTTGCTGAACTTCGTATTAGTATGTCAATAGCTTTTGTAATGGATAGAGATCCATCTTTTCTCATGATTACGGCATTATTTGCGGCAAATAATTTTATATACTTTTTATGTGCTTGTTAGTGCTTGAACTTATAGCGTAAGCCTTAACAAAACAAAGAAAAGTCTTGGTACACAGTTGAGGACTAAGGGATGTGTCACTTCCTCTTTTTATTATATGTCAACCTAAATTATGAAGTTATAGTTTCTAACACGTTGTAATCTGGGCCATATCTCAAGTCAGATTTACCAAATCAAAGATTCATTATATATCTGGCTTAGTTGGTGCAAATCCGTGAGTGGATAGGGTCAAGGTCTGGTTCACATTGAGGTCATACCTAATTCAAGTTCCACAGCCAGGAGAGACAAGTGACAAAACAGAAGTTGATGGTTTCAAACATAAGTAGTGTCCTATCTGCACCATTAGACACTAGAGAAGGCAGAATGTCCTTTTCAAGCTTTCAGATCTGATCTGTTTCCATTCTGACCATAATGCATCTTGAGGCAAATAAGTATGATGCATGTAAATCTAGATTAGATCCTTCTTCATCTCTATGTTCTATAGAAATTGTAATCGTATATGACAGCAAATTTTTCATATATTGTACCAATTAAAGATTGTACAGTAAATAACTTTTGTTTTGATATTAATGCTGTTCTATCTGGTTTATTAGCACATTATTTTTTCAACTACACGGTAGAAGTTCAATTTTAACATCACAGTGTTATAAATAAATTTGGTATATCCTTGTGCAATTACAATTAGCTAATGGATTGTCGAAGTCAATCAATGCTGCAAAAATGAAGTAATAGACTGCCGTAAAGGCCATTTATGTTTTCCTTGGACCTTGTTATTAATAATTCATAATTTCAGTAGGAACTTTGGAGGGACTTCGTTAAAGTCATTTCATCATTTTTCAGTCAAGTAATGGCAGATTTTGGGTATTACTAATATTTAACAGGAACCTTTTTTTTTGTGGTTTTATTTTGCATTGTGTTAAGAAACATGGAAATTTCTTGGACATGAACAACCTATATAATTGGTTAGAATTTGTAAAATGAGAATGACCTCCATATTGCATATTAAGATTAAACTCTTAACAAATTGAAAGCAGAAAGAGGTTTATGACCATTTTATGAAGACAAAAGTTAATTTCTAGTATATATACTTTATTTGTATTATTTTTTTCTACCAACTTAGACATGAATTTTTTTTAGTGCATCTACATTTCACTACAGCCAGGTAGAGTTTCCTGCATGATTGTACAACTTCATGTTGTAAATCATAGAGAGTTGGCTGTGGTCACTGTATCCAATAAACTTTTCTGAATTAGCATATAAGTTTCAGCTTGTGCTAATTTTTTTTTTGGTTTTAATGCATGTCTCAATTACGCATGCCACAGCTAATTAATTGCCTCTGAATTGTTTTTGTAGGAAGAAATATTGGATGAGACGGATGAGTATGTTGATGTCCACAATAAGTATGTGAAAGTTTGCTAGTTCTCTATTCTTCTACTTTTCAGGTTGTGTTAGAGAAATTAATGGGTCAAATGATCTGCAGGATTAAGATAAACATGTTACCTACACGAAGGTCATCACCACGATCCTCTGGAACTGTAACTATCTCTCAGTTTCCACGACGAACTCCATCTGCTTCTCCACTGTCTCCCTATCATGATGCTTCTGTATTACGATCACCTGTTTCTCAGTATGCTCAAGTTCCTGGTTCAACACCAACCATTTTAAATTCTCCTGGGAAGTCATTACCAAGTTCCCCTGCTCATCACATAGTTCTTGGGCAGAACTCACCTTCATATCGAGTAAGTGAAATATTATATTGTTTGGTTTGCTTTTTGAAGTATGAAGTGTGCACTATTTATGCTTTTAAACTAGGATCTCCTTGCATTCTTTACAATCTTCATCATTTCAGTGTTCATTTGGAATTCCCATAGAATTCATTTAAATGATTGGATGTGGATCTTTATGGATCTGGTCCACCAGTCTTTTTCTCTTTTTGTTTTGCTATGGTCTGTTACCTTTAGCCTTGTGGAATAGTCTGATTATGTGTTTTTAGCATCTTGAGTATCTCCTTGCCATGGATGAAATCTCATCTGAGATCTATTGATAAATTTATCTGAATTTCAATGATATTTCTTTCATCAACTAAGTAAAAAACTGTATTGGACATTAATGTTTTTAGGATGTCTCTCTCTCTCTTTCTTTCTGTCTCTCTCTCTCTCTCACACACACCGACCATCTCTCTCTATATATAACATTCCGTATAGTTGATTAAAGTTAATACTTACTGTAGTTGATTGAGTGATGTTATTTTTGTTTGTGGGTGAAATCTTTGTGATCATATTAAGTCTTTCAACCTGCATTTTATGATTATATATGGGCGGTGGTTAGGAAGTCGGCTTATCTTCACCAACCTTGTTGATGAGTGTGTTAATATTCAGGATCATATCTCACCTTTGGTTGATTAGGATAGACATCTTCAAGTTTAGCTATTTGGAATTTTTCATTTTTGACAATGCATGACACACAACGTCTTAGCAGGTATCAAGAAAATCATATGAGAAGCTTGAGAAAAATGGAGGGAGTAATGTTTGAATTTTGATTGCTTATGGAGGCAAGCGGTAGGTAATCAGCTTAACTGTTCCATTCTGAAATCTCCATCTAGTAACCCAAATTGTAGCTGCTGCTCATTGATGTGACCATATGATTCCTTGTACATGGAACGTTGTCTTGTATATTATTTGGATAAACTCTCATATATATTTTTTTTCTCTTAAAGGGAATTTCTTATGTGTAGTGTAAAACTAGTCCTCCTATGGTATTTCGAACTACTAGCATCTCCATTTCAATATATATATATATATATATATATATATATATATATATATATATATATATATATATATATATATATATATAATGTTATGGCTAGTTTGTTTTGAGTAACA